GCACTGGGCTTAGTGCTGCTTGCCACCTGCTTCGCCATCCAGCCTTTCAGCCCGCTGGCGCCGGAGCCCACGCTCTCTGGGGCTCATGCCTGGCGCGCGCTCATCCGCCACATCCGCCTCCTGTCCCTACCCATCACCAAGAAATACCTTCCTGAGAGCAAGGGTGCAGCTCTGCCCGCGACGGAGGAGGACAGGCGCTTGGCAGGTACAGTGCCCTCACACCTACAAGATAGGGTTGTGGGGGCTTTGGGCCCTGGGCTCTGGTTCTGGCTCGGTGAGACAGTATTGCATGTAGCCCTGCCTTGGTTTGACCTCACGACCTCTTGGCGTGGCCTCCCAAGAGCAGGATTTATAGGCACACACCACCACTCCCGGCTCTGAAATACAGTTTCCTTGGCAGTCTTCGGTGAGAAAGGAAGTAAGCTTTATTGATATCTAATGAGAGACGCCTTCACTATATTGTTTTATTTAGTTCAGACCCCACTAACTACAGGGTGTATTTTATTATCACTGTTGTGCAGAGGGGGAACAGAGGCTCAGAAATTAAGACATTTGCCCAACAAACACAGCCAGTGAAATATAAACCCCCACAACCGGGGAAATGGCTCGGGAGAATAAGCGCTTGCCTGGCAAGCACAAGGGCCTGAGTTCAAAACCCCAGTTCCACAAAAAAGAAAAAGAAAAAAGAAATATAGCCTCCCTGTGTTGGGAGTGATGCCCATAAGAAGGATTTATGTGGTTTTTCTTTCTCCTGAGATTCCTATCAATAATTATGTTTAGTAAGTAGCTATCGATTCACTGAAAGCATCTGAATCCAGCATGCTTGACCCAGACTCTCTTCAAGTCCTTGGCCTGCTTTGGGCCAGATAGAGCCTGTTCTCAACAGGTCCTTCTTTCTGCCACAGTTTATTTAACTTGGTACTCTGTAGTATGCCACGTTGCCAGTAGACTGAATTTAAAAACACTTAAATTTAGTAATGGCATCAACTGCAGTGTCAGAATTCTCAGTCTGACAGACTGACCTTTTGACCATGTGAGGCTTTTTCTTTTGAGTATAGCATAGCATGTGATAAGATGTAAATGTTACTTGAGAAAGAATAGCAGGACATTGTCTGGAGAATTTTTAGAGGTTTTTTTGGTTTTGTTTGTTTTTTTTTTTTAGTGCTAAGGCTCAAACCCCAGGGTCTTGTAAATGCTGAGCAAGTGCTTTGCCACCGAGCTGTAGCCCAGCCCCTTTTCTGGTGATATTAGTCTCATTTGCCTGTATGAAGGGACATGTACATTAAAGTCACAAATGGAGACCGAGCATGGTGGTGCACGCCTATAGTCCTGCCACACAGGAGACTGAGACAGGATTGGTGTGAGTCCAAGACGAGCCCAGGCTACGTGGCTTAAGGCCAGCATGGACTACAAGGTGAGACCCTGTCTCCAAAAGAAAAAAGAAGAAAGGAAAAGAAAAAAATTACATGGATTAAAGTTTTTGTGTAACCTTGTTCTGAAATCTTTATGACCCAGAGTAACTCTTAAGAAATATATGTTTTTAGACAACAATGTACTAGATTAAATTAAACTTTATAGTCATAATGTCATTTTTTTTTAAATTGTTTTTTGGTCGTTTTAAACAGGGTTTCAGGCCAACCAATAAGCTCAGCAGATTAAGGCATCTCTTAGGCAGACTCAGTGGTCTGGATTCTGTCCCAGCATGTAGTGTCAGCCCTGCCCCAGGGCGCGCTGAACCTTGATTGAGACTGGGTGTGGTGGCACAGGCCCGCAATCCCAGCTCTTGGGAAGCTGCTACACAGGTGGACTCTCACTACAGAGTCTTTTTTTTTTTTTTTTTTTTTTTTGTGGAACTGTGGCTTGAACTCAGGCCCTTGCGCTTGCCAGGGAAGTACTTATTCCACTGAGCCATCTCCCCGGCTCCATCACTACACAGTCTGATCTGTGTAGTGAGACCCTGTAAACCCTGTACTAAAAACAAAGAAACAAATAAATTAATTAATTTAAAATTAAAAAAAAACAAAACAGGGTCTCACTTGGCAATTCAGGCTGGCTGTGAGCTCACTTTGTAGGCCAGGCTGATCTCGAACTCGCAGCGATCTTCCTGCAATCCTCCTGCCTCAGCCTCCCAAGTATTGGGATTACAAGTGTGTACCACCATGCCCAGCCAATAATGTCATTCTTTAAAAATGTTAGTGTCTTGCCAAATCAACCATAAAAATTATCTCTTGGATTGGGTTTCCTTTAGTAACTATTTTTGTACACTTGAGGAAGTCAGGAAAAGACTTTCCTTTTACATCAAAAGCAGAGGAAGGAAATGAGATAAGAGCCCAGCATCATAAGTTTCAGGGTTTTTTGTTTTGTTTTACCACAGTTCATATATTTAGATTTTAAAGTCCAGATACAGCTGTTTTGTTTATATCGAGAGGGTTGTTTTGAAATATTGTCCACAGACTTCAAAAAGGAAGTTTCCAGCATTTTTTTCCTATTGAGACAGGGTATTTTTTAAAAAAAAAATGTATTTGAAGGCTGGTGAGATGGCTCAGTGGTCTAAAGCACCTACTTAGAACAAGCTTAGCAAGGCACAGGGACCGCGGTCCAATCCACCAGCAGCACATGCCAGCCAGCCCCGCCCCTTGGTGGGCTAAGCTGGCCACACCCACACCCACACACACACACACACACACACATAAATAAATAAATAAAATTTTTAAAAAAATGTATTTGAGCCAGGGTCTCACTACATAGATTGGATTCGTTGTGATCCTCCTGTTTTCAGCCTCCCGAGTGCTGGGATTACAGGTACGCGCCACCATGCCCAGTGTCAGTTGCCATCTCAGTGTGCCCAAGGATGGGGCGGCATGGCACGCCTGGGATGGAATCCGGCCGCTGCGTCTAGTCTGGCCCCGAGGCAGGGTCTCCGTGTGCATGTGGGCTGACATGGAGCTCTGCATCCCCCACCCGGCCTGCGACCACACCACCGCACAGGCCCAGCAAGTTCCCAGGGTCTTGCAGTGAGGAGGACGAGGACATGGTAGGCCTCCCCTCATGGCACCTCTGCTTTTTGCCATGTAGGACAGTGTAGCAGGCCTGGCTGGTGGGGTGGACTTTCTTTGCCCATGGGTTACTGAGTTACCAGATAAGGGAGAAACAAGAGACACTCACTGTGCCTTCTCTAAGTTGTAGTTTAAACTGTTAAGCTTTCCTGGGCCGGGGAGATAGCTTAGTGGAATAAGCACCTGCCTGGCAAGTGCAGGGTCCTGAGTTCAATTCCCAGTACTGAAAAAAAAAAAAAAAAAAAAAAAGAAGCTTTCCTGTCTCGTCAGCGCCCTGGATCCTTTGCCCATTTGATGTTAGTATATTGCCTCATTGATGGCACTGATGAGTCCTTGGAGCTTGGAGCTCAGCTGGAGAGAGCTCACTGGTAGGCGTGGCTTTAGGCCTTGCGCGTTGCTTCTGCATAGGTGCTCCATTGGCCCGGGTGGCTGTGACATCCTGGGAAGCTGTAGCCACCAGCAGCCTGGCCTGGCGGTGGCATCACAGGGAGAGCCAAGGCACTGTAAAGACGGGGGAGTGAGTAGGGTTGGGCATGACAAGTGGGGGCCTCAGGCCCAAAGAGGGCAGGAGAAGAGATCTGTCTCAGTGTCCTGGTGTCAGAAGTGGCGCCTGACCCAGCAGACCCTGTAGGGTGAACACGGGGAGGGCGCGAGGGCAGACCCCAGGCAGCAGGGCAGCCCATGTGGTACTCCTGGGGTGTCCAGCACTCACTGTGGGCGGCACCATGGGGCAACAGAGACACCTGGGGCCTCCCCATCCTACAGATGACGGTGTTGCAGGCAGTCTGAGTTAGATAGAAAATTGCGGGCAGTCAGACAGGGTCAGGCCCTCGAAGGAAATAACAACAGCCAGGCACCTTACAACTGTGGGAAGGATGGAGGCCCCTGCTGTAAATTGAACCTAAAGACTGGTATCCAGGACTAATCATTACTCAGGAAGAATTATGGTCTGAAGGCCCCCCCCCCCCCATAAGGTCCTGTGTTACATTCATGCCCGCTTGCTACGTGACTCGCTACACCATTTGGTCCTGGGCCTAATCAGTTTTATCTGAGCAATGGTGTTCGTAATCCCATTTGTTGACCATAGTTTTGTCCCACCCTGCATCTGCCTGAGTGAGATCCCTTTGTCCGTACCTCAATGCCACATGGTTTTACACTATAAAAGTCCTTGGAAGAGACAGCTTCCTGGGCAACCCACTCGGGCCCACCTTCTGTCCCTCTCCAACAGAAGCTTTCCTTTCCAATAAAGTTTTACCCTCAACCTCTGTTTGTTCCTAAAATTCATTCTTCGGTTTTAGAGAACACGAACTCATCCAGGCCAGGTTGGGAATTTCAGGTTCCTGTATCAACGGGAACCTTTTAGAGACCAAAGCCTAAACTGCAGCCCAACCCCACTTACTCATTGCAAAGTGCCAGCGCTGTAGTGAAACCCGCATTCCATGGCCCAGTGTGGCTGCTGTGGCCCTCATGCTGAGAGTTTACCACCACTGTCCTAGAAGTCTCAGAGCCTGTGGTGGGAGGTGTCCCAACCCCACTTGAGGAACAGAGGGAAACAAAAAGGAGCTCCCTTTTGTAGGTTTTAACCTCAGGAAATCCTGCCCCTAAATCTTAAATCCTTTTTATTTGGTGCCAGTAGGGATTGAACCCTAGAGGGGTTCAGTAAGGTACATTCTTAGCCCTTTTGTTGTTTTTAGTTTTGAGACAAAATCTCACAGCATTGCCCAGACAGGACTTAAACTTGTAGTCAGCCTGTCTCAGCCTCCCGAAGCACTGGGATCACAGGCCTGCACGGCCTCTTGGTGAGCTTGGTGCACAGTGCACTCCTGGAGCAGGCACAAGTCACTACGACAACCCTGAGAAGGCACTGAGGCCCAGAGAGTGCAAGCCAGCATGGGAGCCCAGAGGCCAGGCACCCAGATTCAGGGTCTGAGCCCTTCCCTCCGCAAGTCACCTGGGCTGCATGCACTGTGCCCGGGCCTGCTTGGGGTTCTCTGGGCATTCTTGCTTCCCAGTTGCACTGTCCTTTCTCTTGTGGTACCCCAGGCCCTGAAGACAGTGTTCTTTTGCACCCCTGGCGATTCCTGCCCTGGCATACCCCAGGCCACAGCCTCCTGGCTGATCCTGACTTCCTGTTCTCCCTTATTAACCC